GAAATAATAGCTACTTTATAGAAGTGCAATACAAGGAAAATCACTGCATGTTTTTTTTTAGTATTTTACTATTTAAACTTTTAAATTCTTTTCAAATTTCACACAACATATTTTGATCAACTTTACTTTAGTTCTTCCCCTTACCTCTTCCCATACCTACTCTTGGAACTTTCTGTTCTCTTGTTTTATTTTAAACTTGATAAACCATTGACTCCAACTGTGTTATCCATATATTTCTGGATGTAGGTTCAGCTACTGGGGTGAAGACCTTCCTCCCGTAATTCATATAAATTCATATAACTGTTCAGGAGGGATAACATTAATTTTTTGATAAGCTTCAAATACTGGTGATTAAAAATAAATAATATCTATCTGCATGCCATCTTGTTGTGTGTTCTTTTACAGACACAAGGGAAAGTATCATGAGAAAATTAGTGATTTGACCACATTTGTACAACTGTCCTAAAACTTGGAACTGAAAGGAGGCATTTAAAGTCAATTTGATGCCCAAGTGTATGGTATAAAAAATGATGAAGCGATACACATATTTCTTGGCTACTGCTGCTCTTCAAAAGCCAAACTGTATTATTTTGGCTAGCTCGGGCTTAATTATTAACAGTGAAAACAAATGCATTATCTCTTTCTCAAGACAAAAGAACAGTAATATCTAACTGTGCTAGAGCAAGCAAGTTCAAAAGACAGTTCGATATACCGTGTAGGATTGGCATAAAACAGACCTAGTTTTCTCCTTCCTTTGAATTTTCACTAGAGGAATGTTTAGCAATCTCTCATAGTGATCAAAAACTAAGAGAAAATACATACAAATGTGCATGAACTGACTTTCATAGCATTCATAATGAAAATAATTAGATTTCCTTTAGAATACATAAGAAGGTAGCCATGTAATGATGTACTCCATTAATGTCTCACAAATCAAATTTACCTTTATATTTTAATTGTAGAATTCCTAAACCTGAGCCATTACATTATTTTTGTTGTATCATCAAAACC